TATATATATATTAGTGAATTATGGTACGGTTTGAAAAGTTCAAACCTTAAATCAAACTGCCAAAAAAAAAAGATTAAAAAACTGAACAAACCACCTAATAATTTAAAAATAATTGACGAATTATTGGGCGTATGCTGAAAACATGTTGTATTTTAAATTATGTTATAGCATGTCAATCTAACCGTAGTGGGGTAATGAAGATTTATTATACAGATTATTTCAATGAATTGTAAATTGTTTCTTGAGCATCGGTATTTTCATTTAAGGACAACAGTTTATCCATGGACTAATTTTGTTTGTACTTTTATTACCATATAAAAGTTTTCATTATGATAAAGATGTTTATTGGTATAAATGCCTCTTTCAATTGACATTAAAATACACTCATTAATGATTAATTTCATGATTTAAATGATTATATCATTATAAAAACTATAATAGTATACGCCAAAATCTACTCAGAAGAAAACATTTTCATTATATTAATGATGATTTCATTGTAAAACAGAATCAATATAAACTTTAGAATAAATCTGAAACAATAAAAATGCACGAAAATATGAACTCTGTCATCCATGAAACGATTTTTTTTTATTATTTAATGAACTTATAATACAGAATAAACATGGAAATGAATTCATAAGAATGATTTTTTCATTACTTTAGCGATGTCATTATGAAAAAGAATTAATGCAAACAAACAAATGAATTAAAAAAATAAAAATAAAAAACTCTAAAAAATATTGAACGTCAGGGAAAATCTGATATCTAAAGTACCATATCAATTTTAAATCAAATAATTGATTATAAAATATCAATCGGAGCTAAAAACGAAATTGACTATGTAATATATTATCAGAAAAAAATCAACTAACATAAGAACCATATATAGAATATGCCCAATATAAACTGTAAGGGTATATTCGGTGTCATATATGCCTTATAAATCTCTAGTGGGCATTTTTATTATATTGTATCATAGTATATATTTTTAGAATTAAAGCGCATTTTATGTAATTACTTAATTATATTTTGATAATTTAATATTTAAAGAATCCTTCAATCTCAATTGAAAAAGTAAATATCTTTTTAGTAAGTAATCAAACTCCGCTTCCACGTTGGTCTTGGATTGTTTTCTATTTTTTTCATCTTTGATATCACATAATTTCTTCAATATCTTTTTCTTGATTTGAGAGAGTTGATTCAAAATCTATTTTGATTCCGCATTCTTTTTCTCATCGATTTTGTTTTTCTAATCCAAGATATTTTTTCATTTAAAAATATTGATATAAAAATATCTCTCTTTATTTCTTTCCAGTCTTTTTTTTTATTTCATTTTCACCGACATTTTCATTTACATTAAGGTTTAAAAAGAGAAATTTAATTGGTATGACCATGGTCTTTCAAAAATTCTAGGAAAAAACAAAGTTTGAGATTCAATACTGCACAACTTAATATATATATATATATTATATATATATAGCTCTAAAGCCCTTCTATCCATATTTCAAACCCTACAATTTCTCATCTAGCACCATGACTAATTCTCCAAAGGGCTTCACCCTCAACAACGCCGACTCTTGTAGAGTCAAGTTTGCCCGTAGATTCCTCCGATCCCTAATCGAAATCAAAACCCGTCAAACAAATTATAATAACAATCTTTCCTCTTCTCCTTCTTCTTCTTCAGAAATCCGCAGACGCAGCGAACGAATAAAGCTCAAGGCCTACTCATCCATGGCGCATGCAGTCGGGCCAAGGAAGGCATGGACAAGAGCTCTTCTACTGAAGCTCCACAACCGAGCAAAACGCCATCGTTTCCGCACGAGAAAGAGATCAAGCTTGGCTATGGTACTGAAGAAGAAAAGGGTGTTCAGAGTTAAGAATCATGCAAATTTTTACAAGCCAGCAGCTGAAAGAGGGAATTATTCTGTATTAAATAGTGACGAGAAAACTGAGAAGCTTCGAGAGCTCGTTCCTGGAGGGAAAGCCATGGATATCTGCAGCTTATTAGAGGAAACTGCTCACTTTATTAAGTGCCTTGCTATGCAGGTTCAAGTTATGCATGAGATTGCCGATCAGTTATCCAACTGAGCATTAATTTGGGAGTAGTTTGTATATATAATATATGGTTTCATATATTATACACACGAGACATACATGTTCATGTTAAAAGAGGGGGAAACAAACTAATACAGTATCAAAAGAATTATATATAATTGTCTTTTTCTGCATATATATAAAGTAGTTACAAGTTTCTGCACTGCACAACTTAATATATATATATATATATATATATATATATAACACACACACGTCCTTTGGAATATTGGGTTAGTTACCATACATTTCAACGTGTGATGGTGATAGTTATGGTTATGTGTGGATGGGAAATAAACTATCATTAACCTCGTTAGGAGTAGCGAAAAAGATTTTTCTGTTTTATCTTCCCACTAATTACACAAATTAGAATATAATCCCAAGATTCAGACCCAGCACCTAAACTTTTCTTCTCATTTGAATTTTCAACATAAGGACAAACTTATTACAGTGCAATTTGCGGATAACTAATTAAATAGTAATCTCAACAACAACAAAAAAATAGTAATCTCAAAAGCGCCTTAACTTTCCGCTGCATTGTACTAGATTAGAAGCACTTAAGTACACGTTATTGTTTATTAATGTGTAATTTCAGTGTAATTAAGAAAGTGTTTCATACCTTTTATTCGTTATACATTCTATTGATTAATTAATTAATCTCATTAACTACTCCAGCGTCTTCCACGCGGTCGTCATAGACCAGACAAACAGCGAACGGCGCGGCTCTACTTAATTTGACAGCTTTAAAAAATAACATTACTCCTTTCATATACATCTCTCTCTCTCTCTCTCTCTCTCTCTCTCTCTCTCTCTCTCTCTCTCTCTCTCTCTCTCTCTCTCTCTTTCTCTTTCTTAATGTTCCTTTTTTTTTTTTTTTTTACTTTTGTTGTTTAGTTATAATTGCCATAAATACTTCACCAAATCTTCACTGTTAATTAATTTTAAATAATAATAATCTTAATTATTTATGAAAATTGTTTCTTCGCTTGAATTTAGGAAACCTATTACCTTAAAGCTCATTCTCTTTTAAATTTTTCTTATTATAGAAAAAAATAACTCTAAAAATTTGACAGGAACGTGAATTGAAAAAAAAAAAAAAAAAAAAAAAAAATGAGAAGCACCAATAGATGAGCAACGAGTAATAGAGTAACTCATCTTTTTTTTTTTTTTTCAACTACGCAGAATGATACTGACGGACTTTGTTATGAAAAATATTGGATGACATGTTAATTATAGTAAACTTAACGTAAACTAGCTAATATATTAGATTTGCATTTTTCAAACTTTTTTTAATATCAAATATTTTTTACCCTTGAAAAAAATATTTTTGATATAAATATGCGAATTGATTGTTTTAATACTAATATACTTATCGTTTGTAATATGTTGAGCAAAATAACGTTAAACCATTTGTTTTTTATTTGAAACTGTTGAAATGATGTTATGGAGCATTTTTTTTTTTTCCTGTCAAACAAAAGAAGTTCCACAAACTTTTTACAGTTCTATGACTTCCATCGTTCTTTAAAAGAAAAGGATTTTTTTTTTTCACAATAACAATCTTTTAGTAGTATTATATACTGCTACTTAACACAAATAGATGCCTCTCATCGTCTTTTTTTTTTTTGGTTAATTTCTATTAAATAAAAAAGTTGTTAAAAGTTTTTATCATGTTCGATCAACTAATTTAAGTTTTCTAAATAAGTTTAAATAATTTTTTCGAGAATTATTGAAAAAGTATAGAGAATTAATTAGAGTATTTATGGCTCTTCTAATCAAGAAAGAGAAAGATTATTAAATAAATTTGACATAAGTAAATCTGACGAAATGTTATCATTTATTAGATGGGTGTACCACAAAAGCAAAATGACATATTACACCCGGTCCACTGAATAATTACTCTTCTTTTTGTTACTTTTTTTGTCATTCTCTGCATTTACTTTTTGACATATGGACTACACTATCTTATTTTTTTTTTAAATAATAATATATCATATTGTTAGTAGAGTCCACACGTCAAATAATAAATATATAGAGTGATAGAAAAGTGATGCTAGCATTTCTTAAATCGGTTAATTATTGCATATTTTGAAATGTATAACTTCGTTTCTTTTTCAGGGCCATTTGTCTCAATGTCCTTAAAAAAAAGAATTGTAAAGGTGTAACAATAGTTTGGTATAATTAAATGTCTTGATATTATATCTTTTTAACACAAGAGTTATGTTATATATATAACACTTGTAATAAAAAAGACAATAGAAGTCGGTCATTAGATGTCGTCTCGATATATTATAATTCATATTATGTTTCCACTAATTTAATTAAATTAGCTAGAAACAATTACTACTAATTACATGACCAACATTGTAAATGTCACAATGGTAAGGGACTATAGCTCTATGGATTTTTTTCTCTGACTATAATTTAATACTTTGTGTTTATACTTTAACCTCTTAAATAGTGAGTATTTATGCTCGACGTGCATAAATCTCAATGATTGGAGGCGGGATTGTATAGAACTAATTCTTTTTCGATTATATCAATAATTTAAGGTCTCGTTCATTTCACCGATTTGAGTTTTCAGTTTTAACTTTCTACAGTAAAAAGCTCTTAAATTATGTCACATCTAATTTTTTTTACTACAGTGAAAATTAGTGTTAAGTGGTGGTCGGCGTGAGGACACCCCGTGACGGCAGAGCCACATAGTCATGACAGGAGACACATGCTCCAATTGAATTTTTAAATTTTGATTTTTGTCTTTTAAAATTTTAGATTTGTCCTTATTTTACAAGAAAACTTATAACTTGTCCTAACTCAATAACTAAAATTTATTTGCACCCCTCATTTTAGAAGAAAAATGTGTACGCACCCTCCTTAATAATTGAAATATAATATAACGATATCTTCTCTTTTCCACATTACCTCCACTAAAAAAGATTTGGCGATTGAGATTTCAGAGCAACATTGATGTCATTTTTGTTAAGGAAAAAAAAAAGTACTGACGTGAACTGATTACTTACTAGATTCGACATGCATATTCTAATGATCTAGTACATAATGTCAAAGATTTAACCTTTCATCGCCACCTTAATCAACAAAAAGATGATCAGTAATTATTGTTCAATCACTACAGTTGCACGTATTGCGTTACTACCAACTCTAGCTAATGTTCAATCACATAAGATTTTCCTAGTTGTTTCAGAGTAGCTAGGCATGTAGGTTTTTGTACCATGTACGCATCTTTTTTCTTTTTCCCCCCAAAAGGGGAACAGGAAAAGAAAATGACCTGAAAACTTTATTTCATTGGTGATGTACTAGTGAACTAGAAAGCTGATGATGAAATAATGTACAGTTGTAGAGTAATTATAAGAAACACAACTTGTAAAGAAAGTACTGTACAACTACTGTATACACACATATGTACCTTTTCCTTGTGTCGTTGAAAGGAAGGGATAAATAAGACCCTATTTTTAAAAGGGACACGTGTCCGTCATGGCTGCATGCAGTAATTACATCAAGCATGGGTTTTCGTGCTTACTAGCTTTGTGGGGGAGGCTTGATTACTACAACAAAAAGAGGGAGAGAGAGACTAGGGTCCGTTCATTTCGTTAATTTGAGTTTTATTACAGTAAAAAGCTCTCATAAATAATTACATTTAATTTTTTTGTTACAGTAAAAAATTCTCACATAAAATCACATCTTAACTCGAATTAAAAACTCGAATCAGCGAACTAAACGGGCCCTAGCTATATATAGTCCGTACAACTCTCCACTTATAAATGTTATTTTCATTTTATCGATTTAAATTTAAAATTTAAATTTTTTTATAATAAAAAATTTTTAAAACAGTTATATTTAATTTTTTTTATTACAATAAAAAGTTCTTATATAAAATTATATCTTAATTCATATTAAAAATTTAAATCAGTGAACTAAACGAGATAAAAATCTCATTTTTGACTGCAATTTACGTTTTGATGTCACACGCGGCTATGTCTTTTATAGCTCGTCCGTTTCTACGTCAATGAACAGCTAGCTTTCTTTCTTTCTTTCTTTTTTCCTTGATGATCATGATCATGCATGATCTGTTATTATACTATGAAGGATTAATTTTGATTCACTTGATCGTGATCACACTACAACAAAAAAGGTCATTTGCGACGATAAATGTCGTCGCAAATAATAAAATATTTACGACGACATGTCGTCACAATTACTCCCCGTTTAAAAAAATAACCATGTCGTCGCTAATAACCTAAATGTCATCGCTAATAACTTAAATGTTGTCGCAAATAATTTTGGGGCGCAAATTTTAATGGCGCGGAATTTTACCGCCAAGGTAATCCATTTTTTGCGACGACATTTTCCCTTTATTTGCGACGACTTTGTCGTCGCAAATAATTTCATATTATTTGCGATGACATTTTCTCTTTGTCGTCGCAAATAATCTTTTCAAGATTTCACCAAAACCAAGCGTGGGAATTAATGATTATTTGCGACGACATTTTAAACTTATTTGCGACGATAATGTCGTCGCAAATAAGTTTAAAATGTCGTCGCAAAAAACTTTATTTGCGACGACATTTTCCCTTTATTTGCGACGACATTTTCCCTTTATTTGCGACGACATTTTCCCTTTATTTGCGACGACATTTTCCCTTTATTTGCGACGACATTTTCCCTTTATTTGCGACGACATTTTCCCTTTATTTGCGACGACATTTTCCCTTTATTTGCGACGACATTTTCCCTTTATTTGCGACGACATTTTCCCTTTATTTGCGACGACATTTTCCCTTTATTTGCGACGACATTTTCCCTTTATTTGCGACGACATTTTCCCTTTATTTGCGACGACATTTTCCCTTTATTTGCGACGACATTTTCCCTTTATTTGCGACGACATTTTCCCTTTATTTGCGACGACATTTTCCCTTTATTTGCGACGACATTTTCCCTTTATTTGCGACGACATTTTCCCTTTATTTGCGACGACATTTTCCCTTTATTTGCGACGACATTTTCCCTTTATTTGCGACGACATTTTCCCTTTATTTGCGACGACATTTTCCCTTTATTTGCGACGACATTTTCCCTTTATTTGCGACGACAATTTGAAATGTCGTCGCAAAAAATGATCATATGACGAGAATTTTACAACGACGTATTAGCGACGCCTGTCGTCGTAAATACAGAGTGTCGTCGCAAATACATTTGTGATGACACTATGTCGTCGTAAAAAACGTTTTTGCGACCAAATTTTTGCGCCGACAAATTTGCGACGACTTGTCGTCGCAAAAAACTTTATTTGCGACGACATTCGGGTTGTCGTCGCAAAAACCCCTTTTTCTTGTAGTGTCATCACCAATATCTGAAAGTTCTTGATAAATATGTATGGTCAACTTTTGCAATCATATATATAGGCTCGGGGTAATCTATTTTCATTTAGGAGTACGTCCCTTGTGTATATGGACAATAAAATAATTAAAAGTGATAATTAATCGAAATAAACATCTAATGCATGCAACCATCTATTCAATAATTTATAATAAAGCAATTCTTTTTTTAAAGTACGTAATGGCATATCCTTATAATTTGGCGGTACAAATTAGTCAAGGCAAGTTTCGGCATATTGCAAGTTTTGGTATAATCATCGTTAAAATTATTATTACCAGTGCTCTTGAACTTTAAGATCATTTTAAGTTTGCTCTTAAATTTTAAAAACTCTCACTTTATCTTCTGAATTTTAAATTGTTCTCAACTTATTAATATGTTATGTTGAAATATTTGTTGAAAATAGATAGAAAAAAGAGAGTAATTATTGCAGTCATATGATCATTCTATTTGAATATTTGTTAAAAAAATAAATAAAAACCACATGAACACACTTAATTTCCTTTTTTCGATTTGATTTTAATAGATATTCTTACACAAGGGCTTCAATGGGCCAAATCTAAATTCAAGGAGTAAAGCGAGAGCTTTCAAATTTTAATAGGCAAATTGGGAATGACCTCAAAGTTCAGAAACACTAGTAATACTAATCATAATTTATATATTTTGACTCAAAAAGTATTTCCTTTAATAATGATGACAATTTCATTCAATTGAACAAATATATAACAATTATAAACCTTGTAAAAATATCAAGATCAGTATAATAATGATCCATTATAATTAAAAAAAAATAGTCAACTATTGTTTTTATTAAAAAATAATCTTTAACATATATGTAACTTCGAAAGAGGAAAAAACTGAGTTCCACAGGAAATAATTTTTGGATCTTTTGAAATACTACTGTCTTCAGTATAGGTTTTTGTGGTTGATACAATTACCAACATGTTGTCGATTGAAAAGTCGTCCGCCAAAAGTTTCTAGTTGATTTTGACACTCAAAGACAATAATAAATCAAAACAAACTACCATAACCAGATTAAGATCTATGTAAAACAAACTTATCACGACTATAGATTAAATTCTAAGTGACTACATAAATTTTTTTTTCATTATGATAATACTAAAAGTTACAAAATAGAGGACAATTACGAAAACGAACAAATCCTATCAGAGAGAAAAGTTCTCAAGGATTTTCCTCTTTAGTGGGAAGGACGAAAATTTAGAGTCCGTTTGGTTCATGGATTCAAATCATGTGATTTGAACTATTTTCGATTTACGTGTATTTTTTATGAGAGAAAATACTGTAGCGAATCACGAATCATGATTCGAATCAGGGAGTGAATCTAGGAACCAAACGGACCCTAAGTACTTTTTACGATGATTTGACGTGTTAAAATTTTGACTTTTAGATTCTGCTACACATAAAATATAAATGAATAAATAAAACTATGCTTTCTCCGTGGATCTATTTGTAATTCAAAAGAAAATACAACGCAGTACTATATAACAAATCTGAAAAACAAAGAAACATATTACCAAAAGGGAACCCAGCAACTAGTCCTTTTCTCCTAAATCCCAAAGAAACTTTGAAGAAGCAGAATTTGGCAAATTTTTTTATGGCTATAAAAATTAATGGCATGCATGTTAGTTTCCAAATCTGTCATTATCCAAGGTTATCAGCAACAGAAGTAATTAAAACTTCCACATGAGCCATAACGTCATGGGTCCCAATCAAAGCTTTGCCATAAAATCTCCTCACGAGTCAGTATACAAAATAATGAAACCCAAAAATGCACCTAAACAGTGTCCAAGTTGAGAACAAGTTACTTATAACTTGCCATAATCACTCCATGCACTGGGTAATAGTAAGCATGTATACGGATTTCAATTCTCTCATCTCTCTCTCTCTCTCTCTCTATATATATATATATATATCTATGTATATCATAATATATATATATATATATTTTTTGGTTTTGAGAGAAGAAATGACAAGAGGAATAGAGACAGATGGGATGGGATGGGATGTTTGTCCCACGTGGGGTTCGCACGTGGCTACAACTGCGGCGGTTGGAAGTTGATAGTGTCTCTCCTCTCCTCATGTATGTCTGTTTGCTTCACGCAAGCAGCTGCTCCACTACTACTACTGTACCACTTCTTCTCTTTTAATTTCTTCTTTCTTTCTTTGCCGTGGCTTTAAAGTTTGAATTACCAAATACACCACACACTCTCTCTCTCTCTCTCTCTCTCTCTCTCTCTCTCATATATATATATATATATGTATGTATATATAGACATGTGGAAGAAATGAAGGCGTAGTTTGATCAACTGTAGTACTATGGCTTATGATGAGTAATACATCGATCTTTTTCATAGTCTCATTGCTTACTATGTAGCACATAGCAATATTAAGTAATGAAATTTTGTTCGGTTTTAATATAATTTAATGGTAACATGTTGTGATCAATTCGTTTATTATTATTAGCCAATTGGTTTTTATTAAAATCATCCGATATTGCACTCATGTTTTTAAATATATGCTATGAACTTATATATATATATATATATAAGTACACATGACAGGTTATTATTTATTTGTTTTGTTTTTTGTTTTTTGTTTTGGTTAGGGACAATAAAAATTCACCATTTAATACGATGGCGAAGAGTATAGAAATCATCTGTGATACAGCAGATGATCAATATGAGTTGTTTGGTTTTGTAAGTTGCGTTACTTGTCAATCATAAGTCACTCGAGTAATAAATTAAACTTTGTACAATTGTTTTGTTACGTTTACTTCATGTATGTGTACATCCCGAAAAAGAAAGGTTAATGAATCCAAATTACAAATAATTTCATTAAAAAAAAAACTTACGTAACAACTAGTGTTTTCTAATGACCCACCACCAAAGCAGTTTATTAATAACCACGATTAAAAATTTCCGTATATATAAAAAAAAAAAAAAAAAAAAAAAAAAAAAAAAAAAAAAAAAACTTATATAATAATACAGAACTGACAATTGACAAATCCCTTCAAACTTATTCTAAAAAAAAATAATTTAAAACCCATATTTTTTTTTATTAATAAATGTTATAATAATTTCGCTGAAGAACAGAAACCCACTTTCTCTCTCCCCAAGTCTATATCAACCCCACCCAATCCATTTACTCAACTCTCTCACAAATTCAGACCCCACAAGACCATGAGAAAACTCCAAGTACTACTCACAAAAACAAAACAAAACAAAACAGAGTGATCAATCCAATATTCTCCATTATTATCCGGTGGATCCAGATCCACATCACAACAAGATCATGATGAACGCAAATAACAATGGATCCTCATCATATAATACTAATACCAGTACTAGTGGGCCATGTGGGGCGTGCAAGTTCCTCCGGCGGAAGTGCGTGAAAGGATGCATCTTCGCGCCATACTTCGACGCCGATCAGGGCACCGCACACTTCGCGGCGGTCCACAAAGTGTTCGGCGCCAGCAACGCCTCGAAGCTCCTCCTCCGCATCCCACCGCACAAGCGCCTCGACGCTGTCGTCTCGCTCTCCTACGAGGCTCTCGCCCGCATCCGAGACCCCGTTTATGGCTGCGTTGCTCACATTTTCGCTCTTCAACAACAGGTCAGATTTTTAATCAAGCCCTTGTTTTTTTTTTCTTTTTTTTCTTTAACGTGGTCATCATGCTAACGTGCGCCTCAAACCGTGCTAGATATAAGTCGCCCATCAGAATAACTGACATGGTTTTTAATATTATTGTTCTTGAGTTGGTCCCGCTGAAATTTTCAGATTATGTGTTGGAGATCAAGCCCTTTCTTTTTCTTCTTTTTTTTTTTTTTGGCCCCTTTGAAATGTTTTTTTTATGGAGTTTGTGATGCTATCGTGCGCCGGTGACCTTTTTTTTTTTTAAGGCTTGGTGTTTTTCTGTAAGTAGTTTTCATCTATTCTGTTTTCGAGTTAACCATTATGGATTTAAGCTGAAACTTTAGGTAACTGAACTAGTGTGTGTCTGGTCATGCACTGATGACCCCTTTCATATACATTTACGTGTGCATATGTGTTACAGTCACCGGCTAACGTGCGCCGGTGACCATTTTTAAAGGGGACTGTTTTTCTCTAGTTTTGAGTTTATTTTGGGGAAAAGTTTCTATTTTGGGGATTTGGGACATCGATCGCTCTGATCTGAATGATCTGCATGTTGTACTAGCTAGTGCTCAGTCGGAGAGTAAGAAGGTTACGATTTCTTTAACCTTAACAAGTTGCGTCTTTTGTCTTTTCTGTTAAATGCTAACTTGCAGCTTTCAGTACTGAATATATTGTACTATAGATAGATTTAGACCGTATATATACATACATACATACATATATATATATATATATATAATATAGGAAATCCAAGCTGGTTGAAATTTGGGTTTTTGTGAAATTAATAAAGGGGTCTACTAACTTCTATTAATATTTTGGTTTTACTTTTTCATCTCTTTGTCAAGCTTTGGTAAGCACTGTAGTACTGTAGATGTAACCCTAAAGACTGTTTATCTGACTACTAAAGTTTCTATAATATAGTTCGAGAATTTTAATGTTTCTAGGTATTTTCACACTCATTAGTATGATAAAAAGGATGATCCAAGGTTCATGGTCAAGTTTTCTGGCTAAAAAGGGTTTTCTCATTACCTTGAGTTGTCTTTGCCAGTGTACTAAACCGATCTTAGATTTCCAATCAATTAACTCGCTTAAAATCCATGCAAACTTGTAGAGAATTTTTTTTTTTTTCTTTTGATAGCTCTAGTAACTAGCGTCCCTCGTTTTCCCATGAAAAATTTTCTGAATCTTATGCTATCTTACGCCTTGAAATTCTTTGTTCTTTTAGCTCTCTTTTTAAAGAAAGCGACCATGAATATGGCCAAGGTTTTATTTTTATTTTTATTGTTTTGAGTGGAAGAATATGGCTAAGGAGTTTTGTTGCTTGCCGGATGTACCAAGCAAAATTAATTTAGTAGAACCTCTACAAGTATTCAAACACCTCTACTTTTGACTTTCTTAACCCTTTAACGTATCATTAGCATAGTAAACATAATATATTAATCTCATTGCATTTATGAAACTTTGACATTTAATGTATATAGAGTGTTTTTGGATGAATATATATTGATTCCTTGTAAGGATCAAAAAGGGACCTAGCACATGTTGGTAGTCGTGTGGTAAATTTTCGATGCCAAATTCTTTTTTTTTTTCTTAGTCACATGGAGACTTAGCTTTCTTGTAAGAACGTTTTCTTATATATATAATCCTTAATTTCTTTGCACCGCGGATTGCATACGTGTATACAGGAACGTTATTTTCAGATCCATCATTGAGGTCGATCTCATGATCTTTTGCTTGATTTTGTAACAACCTTTTTACTTTCATTGATGACTTTTGTGAATAAAAGTAAGAGCAATTCTTTTTTCCCTTCATTTTGCTAAAAGCCTAAAACAAATAATAGCTACCGAAAAAAAAAAAAAGCAAAATAATGTCTTTGTACTCGATAAGATTACGTGGCTATGCCGTAGAGTGATCCCTGCATGCTATGTAGCTATACATAGTCATTTCGAGATGAAGATTTAAAAAGATTTTGTTTTTTTTTTTTTTTTTTTTCACACTTCATGTTGGAAATAAACGTCGTCAATAAAGAATAGTCTACGCCGATAGTTAGGCAAAATTCCATAGACCCATGATTGGGCAAAGTGTCACCAGCTTAATACGAACACAAAGGCGAGAGATTCGTATATATATTTCGCATCCGGGGATAAGATTTTCGTTTCATTCCTTGAAGGAAGTGCTAAGATAGAACATCTCAACCTTTTGAAACAGATTCTTTGATTAGCTAACAGATTTTACTAGATTAAGTCTTCACATGTTCTCTGCTATTTTGCTCCTAAACGTCCTATTAGGAAATCATTACTAACTACTTTTAGTCTATTGGTGCATTCCTATTACTAAACATCTTTATATGTGATGTCTACAAGCAATTTGCCATCATAAAGATTTAGGACAACCTATGAGATATGATTTCAATGTCTAGTGAATGATTTTCTACTTTAGTTCATTTAGTTTAACGGCGACGTTGTTAAGAAAACACTAATAAGTTAAATGGCCTTGACACGAATCAATAGCGCAGTTTCTTTGTGATGGCAGGTGGTAAACTTGCAGGCAGAATTGGCATACGTTCAGGCCCGGCTTTCCACCTTGCAGCGCCCGCCGGAGGCACTGATTCAGCCCCAAAGCACTTCGCCCACAAGCATGCATTCCTTGACGGATGTTGTGGCTTCTACTAATTCAGATATTGCCTTAACTTCTAACATTTTAATGCATTTAGATCCTCTTCAACCACAAGCATCTTCTGAACTTGCAAGCTTTAGTCCATTCGATCTCGAGCTTCACGATGGAGAACTCCAAGTTTTGGGTCGTCAGTTCGTGTCTCGGTATTTGCCAGCTGCACTGAGGTTTCGATCCTCCAGTTCTTACTAGTCATATTTCCCCAACTCCTTTTTTGTGATCAACTAATCGTGAGTCTCAGCTTCTTGTAAAGCAAGCTCTTCAAGAAATGTTGATGCCTTTTTGTAAGTCTTCAGTAAGTTGAACTGAAAGACTTAACTTTCTTGAGGACTTCAATTTTAGATATGGCAACTCATGCGCGCCACTTTTTCTATGGTTTTTGTTTTTGTTTTCTCCCTACTATGCTCAATCGAAACAACAAAGAAGAGAAAATTAGAAAATTTGTCCATGCTCATTCACCTCTTTATTTTATTATTAGTATTATTTTTTTAGAATTAAAGTCCTTAAGTTGTTATACAATGAAAGAATTTGAGTGCAGAAATTATTGTAAGGGAATAAGTCATTGAATCATATCATGCCAGTTCAGTGATATGTCATTTAAGAAAGAAACAATTACGGTTTAGATTTGGGCCCATAAGCCTAGTTCCTGGTCCAAATGAAGCTGGGCCTTGAAGAGGGTCCAACTTCCATTACAAGGATTATGGCAAATACCTTTCCAAGGGTTCCTTTTCCATATATATTGGTAAACCCGCAAGTATTCAAGGAATAGCAGATTTTTTCAAGTCACATTAAGCCCCTAAATATAATTAACTCGTACCTAAACTAGAGCATAGAATTGAAGGTGGCCAGAAATGCTGTTGAGAATCATATTCATGCTTACATATCAAAACTGTCATTTTCTCCGGATGTCAAACCTACGAGACAATCTATTAAAAGCTACCAGAATACGAATTTTGTAATTTTACCACGGGAAGCACAGTTTTGGAATGCTTGTTCTAGCACACCAAAAGGGGCAAACAAAGAGAAGTAAGGATGATAGAATATAATAACTAGAAATCTAGAAAGTGGGAAGTACAGCAATTGGGTACATGAGAATGAAGGAACGATGCAAGTTTTACAAGCAGAATCAATTATGTTTTCTCATAAATTAAAAGAGAATTTTTACAGCAACAGTAGGAATTACTGTTTTGACCGTTGAGTTACCTTTGTAATGGTTAGATCTATGATTGGAAACTGTCGCGTGCGGTAAATTTTTAATGCAGGCACGAGATGTTTTGATAACATTAACAAAGACCACAAATAACATGGCAATATTCTTAAAGGAACATAGTGTATACCTTTTTTTGGGACTTTCAGAGCATACATGTTCTCTGTTCTCCATACCAGATTGCAACGTCTTCTGCCAGTTACAATGGCCTTCCGAGCCAGAGGACACAATGGAAAAGCATTTCTCCAGACATTAACAAACTACCATGACTAGCAAGCTGCATCTCCTGGAAGACACTAACTATATGAATAATTCTCCGGAGAACAGGACAGCTAAATCATCATATACTGGAAACCATAAACAAGAAACAGAAGGGCATGGATATTGTCATACTAGCAGGAATATATGAGTTGTCAGCCCTGAAGGCGTCAGCCGCAGGTATCCCTAATCCTCTAACATATCAAGTAATCACAAGACATCCTAATAGTTTGTTTGCTATGTGCAAGTTACATACAAGATGATGGAAATTATTACGACTGATGCAAGTATGACCGGAACACTGACCAACACAAGTACAACCAAAAACACTGCTTAAAGCACCAAGTACAACCAAAAAAACTGCTTGGTTACTTCACACTCCTCTGTAATGCAAAGAGAGAACAATGATAATAAATTAATGATGTATGATGATAATAATAATAATAACAATAATAATGTGTGAGTACCAACGTCCGTCCATGGCCTATGGCTGTTAGCCTCTGCGACTACACATCTATAAT